CCCAGCGGGTCGGGAGCCGGGGGTGGCCAAGGGGGGGTTTAGCCGCCTATCGGCAGCCCACGCGTGCGCGGCTGGAAGGCAGGAGCCTGGGAAACGCTCCTCACCTCCTCCTCCAAGGCTGGTGCTGGGGCTGGTGTTCATCTCAGCCGCGGGACAAGGGCAGGTTGCAGCTGTTGTCAGCCTGGGTTTGGTTTAAAATATCTGTGGAAACGGCCTGGGGGACCAGAGCAGTGTTATGTGAAGTAGAAAATAAACCAGATGTGATACCGACTGCATCCCCCACGCAGAGCTGCTGTCAGCGGGGCACATGGCTCCCAGCCCACACGCGGGCAGGTGCCACCTCCCTGCACCAGGGCCAGTCCGGATCCTTCATCGGAAAGGACAAGGTCACTGAGGGACGACACTCTGGGAACGATCTGGCCTCCCAAGCAGGTTTCCTTCCCAAAACAACCAAGAAGGGGTTTGGCCTCGAAGACTGAGGGCTTCTATCCTTGCCAAAGCTTAAAAGCTTTTTATTGCAGCTTTTGTCATCCATAAAAACGTCTGCTCCTGCCGAGCTCTTGGCTTTAAAGAGCGCGTGAAGGGGATGATTTCCACGGGCCAACTGTGATCTCTTTGAAAAGGTATTTCCTTTCGTGGGACGGCTCCTGCGCTCCTGCCAGGTGAGCCCAAGCGGCCCCTTCCAGCATCTTTGTGCCTAAGTGCAGCCAGGACCCAAACGCTCCCATCACCCAGACCTGACTGTGCTATTTCAAGTGACAATATATTATTCATTTCTCCTCTGAGATGCCAGCAGATGTGTTCTTTACTCCTTCTGTGAAGAGCTACCACAGACGGCCGAGGAAGACACTCCCAATGTGCCCCCCAGGCTCCCCCCAGCTGCCCTTGCTGTTCATCGCCCCACGGTTCCAGCAGCCCCACAGCATTCCCAGCGCCTGTGCCAGCCCCACGGAAAAAATTCTTCCATCTGAGGGTGGGGAAGCACTGGAGCAGGGCCCTGCGAGCCGGGGACCCTCCACCCCTGGAGATTGTCAAGGCTCAAGCAAGCCCTGAGCAACCTGACCGAGCTCTAGGCCAGCCTGGCCAGCGCAGGGTCGGAGCAAAGACCTTCAGGTGTCCCTCCCCACCCAACCAACACGGTGGTGCCAGCACGCTCCGCGTTTCCTCTGCAGCTGGCAGGAGCCAGGGGGCTGGAGGCTGGTGGCCACTGAAGAATGGAGCCAAAGAAGTTACTGAGCTCTGCTGGGCTCTAGAGGAGAACAAAGCGCTGGAGACAACACGCTGTGGCCGGGGGAGGAGAAGAGAACAGAGCTGGGCAACCAGCTGCTGCCGCCGCGGTGCCCCAGCCCCTGAGCCCCGCCGAGAGCAGGCAAAGCCCACTCCCCAACATACGGGCAAAGCCCGGGATGCCACTGGTATCAGCGCTGGAAGTCACAAGCAGTATCTTTCTCCGGCAGCTTCCTGCGTGTTCCGAAGTGCGCTGAACAGCCTTCCCGTGCCGTGACCCCGCGCTCCAGCTCCTGCGTCTTCCTGAGCAGTGAGAGAACCTGATGGTGGCCCAAAAAGGCCACCGAAGCATTTTGTCAGCACTTTCCGCAGCAGTGAGGGCTACGGACGAAAAGCAGGGATGAAACTTCCTCCCAGGAGCCGTGCTG